AGTAGATACCACAGATTAACAAATAGAAAATCCAATGTCAGAAATAGTTTACCTCTGTTGATGTTGTTAACCAGTGAGGTTCCATAGACTTCCCAAATGTTACAGGTTATTTATCAATGCTACTGGTTACTTTCCATAACTTGACATCAGACAGTATTTGAGAAAATATCACATACTGAAGTTATAGGGAAAGACTGTGAAAGCCAGAGGAAGTGGATGGCTGCAAGGAGGTGGTGTTCAGACAAAAAGATATTTCTGTAAAAGCACAACAGTTGTCATTCTATACCCAAGATCCGTGTAAGTGCAAGCAAGACAAAATTCCAGCATGGATGGAGAAGCTGGGCATGAAATCACACTCCTAGCTGAAGAGCTGCTTTCAATTGATACCTTCCAGGAGACGGAGAGTTGGTTTCCTTTGAGGATGAAGGCATTAGTAGGGTCTAACCCACTCCAGTGGATGGCCACACACTTAAGAGTGTGTTAGCAGTACTAATATGTCTCTGGGTTTAAAATAATTTTACAGGAATAAAAATCTTGAGCCTCTGTAAGGAAAAAAGCATTGTCTTGTTTCTTACTATAGAACCAGATTCTAGAATTTGTATAAACGTGTAATTTTAGAATTGAAAATTAATGTAATAAATATGAAATGGATATGATACCTACTACCCTCAAAATCAATGAAGCATTTGATTTTTTTTCTGAAAAACAGTTTCACCAGACAAAAACATATGAGTAAAACAAACATTTATGAGACAATCAATTTCTAACAATCTGTTCATACTATAAAATATATTTATCAAATATGCCTTAAAGCAAAAGGCAGCTGACAAGGTTACAGAAGATAGGCAGCCCTGTATATTTGGCCCTTGGCTTCTGCTGGCATCACTTTAACTGTGGGAAAGTTTTCCAAATCTGACAGTGCAAAAATTGTCCACCTGATGGCAGGCAGCCAAACATTTTCTTTCCCTTTGTGGCCACAAACAGATGGTTTATAGTTAAGTAGCTAATAAATCACAATCTATGTGTGCAAGAAGGCCAACCACAAAGTGTTCGTTTTCTCTTATAATAGAACCACTACTGCCAACAAGAGTTATTTAATCAAAACTTTTACGTGAGTAGGTGTTGACGTGCTACTTCATTTTTCTTTTATAAGTTGTAGGTGTTGATTTTAACTCTTTCATATATTACCATATATTCATATATGCACAAAAAGAGAAGAAGACAGAAAGGAAGAAAGAACAAAAGGAAGAGGGGGAAGAATGAGAGAAAGAAAAAGAAGCAGAAGAGGAGGAAGAAGAAGGGGGGAGGAGAAAGACAAACTTACTGACTGATTGACAGGCAGCTAAAATACCTTGTAGGCTGGACCAATACAAATTCTGAAGTGGGAGGCCAGCAGGATGTACAATTAGGAAATGTTTTCAGCTCAAACTGCATCCTTATGAGCCAGAGATGTACACATGTTGCAGATGAAGTCTAAGGCAGTCTGCTAGGGAATCCCCTTAAGACTGTAAGACTTGTCAGAGGCAGTCCCAGTTCTCCTTGCTAGGAAATCCACTTGGACATTGAGCTGCCATGGGCTACCTCTGTGCAAGAGTTCTAGGTTATCTCCTTGAATGATCCTTGGTTCAAGTATCAGTCTCAGAAAAGACCTCTGGGCCCAGATTTTTTTGGTTCTGGTCCTCTCCTTGTGGAGCTCCAGTTCCCTCCAGGTCTTTCTATCTCCTCCTTCTTTCATGAGATTTCCTACACTCTGCCCAAAGTTTGGCTATGAGTCTCAGCATCTGCTTTGATACCCTGCTGGATAGGGTATCAAAGGCCCTCTGTAGGCTCTGCTGTCTCTGACATGAACTCAGTGGCTGGCTCTTTGAGCACCTTCTCCTGAAGGGGAAGGGCAGCTTTACCAAGCCACAAAAGAAGACAATGCAGACAGTCCTGATGAGCCCTGATAGGCTAGGGTCAGATGGAAGGGGAGGAGGACCTCCCCTATCAGTGGACTGGGGGAGTAGCATGGGAGAAAAGGGAGGGAGGGCAGAATTGGGAGTGGATGAGGGAAGAGGCTACAGCTGGGATACAAAGTGAATAAACAGTAATAAATATAAAAAATAAACTTAAAAAAGAAGTGTATGCTAAATGTTAATACTTTATCAATAAATTTGCTAAAATTAATATATTATTTTAGTAAGGTATGTTATTAATTTTATGTTAACACAACAAAAATGTAATTATCATAGTAAATTAAAAATTAAATTTTAATATGTAAAAAAACAGAAAGACTATAAAACTTGCTCTTTTCAATCCTTTAATGAGACAGAGTGAAACTCACCAGCATTGAAGACAATGAATTCCTTTAGAAAAAGTCACCAATATAAGTGTAAATTTTATTCATAAATACGTTCACTGAACCATCCAGAATGAGGCTAGACCTTATTCCGGTCCCTGGTCACAGAAAAAAGCAGCTCATAAAACATGTATTTTTTTTTTTTTTTGGCCTGTTTGTTTGCTTGAGTTTTTGTTTTTCATGTTTATTTATTTGTTTCTCTTTTCTTTGCTTCAATAGTCTTAGATTTGGAGTCACTATTGTTTCCATAGAGCTCTTCTCGTTTGAAAAGAACTTAATAAACTGGAAAAGTCCCAAGCCCACTTACATCTTCCCCTCTGCCTCGTTGGATAACCAAGTGCTTTCTGGTCCATCCCTGTACAAGAATGGAGATATTCTGGCTACCTGTCACAGACGGATTAATATGTTGACAGGTTCTGTAAACAAAAAGTCACATCAAAGCTATCAGTCTAAATTGTTTGCACAGCAAAGGTCTTACCTCTTATGGGAACAATGAGAAAACAGAAAATGCTCCCAAGGAAGCTCATTTCAGGTGAAGAACTAACTGGCTTCCTGGAATAAACAAAGCCCACAGTAGTCAAACAAGCTTAGTAATAAAGTGAAAACATGATTTTAAGGCTTAAAAGGATCGTTGGTTGTTTTTGGTAATAAGTAGTTTTTAGTTTTATTTTTAATTTTGCAAATGTGTACTGTATTTATATCCACTGTCCCTTTGTGCCCTCCAACATCACCTCCTGAGTGAGTTTGTAATATGGAGCTATGAGAATCACCTGAGAATGACTGATGAGAGCTCACTGATTCCCCTCCTAGGGTGAACAGTCAGTATCCATGTGTGAACTGATGTTGGGCTGCCTTGGAATGCTCATCATTCAGTTCTCACATGGCAGCTACTCCACTGACTCCCGAGCCAACTTCTGTGTCCCTCTGCAGAATGAACAGAGCTCCTCTTCCCAGTCTGTGCTTTGCTAGCTTAGTCCTTTGTAGGTCCTAGACAATATCAGACTCTTCTGAAATTTTACGCTTACAGAAATGCAAATTTTAATTTTAGAGAATTAGCCTTGCCTATTGTCCCCCACAGATCAACAAAGTGATGCTATTCCTGGGTCAGCACCCATTGGATCTCAGCAGCCCCTTGAAGAGTAGAAAGATGGAGTTGTACTAAAGTTGGGTCAGCTCTGTTGCTTTGAAAGCCAACTTCAAAATGAATAAAGTGTAATTAATAATAATAATAATAATAATATTAAAAAAAAAGAAAGCCAACTTCTCCAACAGTTCAGAAGGTCCTTTCTTACACAAGGTCACTTTTAAATGTCCATATCCTTCTGTGCTCCAGAACAGCAACTTAATACTAGGAATCATATTTCTGTTTGAAGCTTTTTTTTGGGGGGGAGGAGCTACTTTAGACATATAATAATCAATATCATTTCCTAATGGAAGCCAATACTATATGAATTAAAAAAAAAAAAACATTTGCACTATAAGTCACAAAACAAAGATCCATCATTGACTGTTGGAGTGTATTGCAGTATTTCAGTGGCATGCCAAAAAAAAAAAAAAGCAAGACAATTCAATGTCCTGTTACCTCATTGATAGCAAACATGCATGTTCTTTATACAATCTAATCCATCTAATGCCAGAAAAGTTTTGGTGCTTTCCTGGCTAGCTTTTGTACTTGTAAGTTTTGTCGTTTTGTTTGTTAAGTTGGCATAGTCTAGACCTACCTGGGAAAGAGAAACCTCATTTAAGGAATCACCCCCATTAGTTTGTTTTGTGGGCAAGTCTGTGGTGCATTTTCTTGATTAGTGATTGATGACACAGGGCCCAGTTCACTGAGGAAATTGTCACTACTGAGCTGGTCATCCTGGGTGCTTTAAGAAAGTAGGCTGTGGGAAACCAATTGGTTACTGAGCTACCACAGGCTACATCAATTGGTTTCCCATAGTGAGGGGAACAAGGACTATTTCTAACAGGAACTCAATAACTGGCTCTTTGGCCTCCCCACCCCCCAAGGGAGGAGCAGTCCTGTTAGGCCACAGAGGAGAGCTTTGCAGCCAGTCCTGAAGATACCTGATAAAACAGGATCAGATGAATGGGGAGGAGGTCCCCTCTATCAGTGGACTTGGCAAAGGGCACGGTGGAGATGAGGGAGGGAGGAGGGACTGGGAGGGAATGAGGGAGCGGGATACGGCTGGGATACAGAGTTAATAAAATGTAACTGATAAGAAAAAAATAAAATTAAAAAAAAAAGTACGCTGTGCAAGCTTACAGAGTAAGTCAGTAAGCAGAACTCCATTTCTTCTCCTTGGGATCCTGCTCTCAGGTTCCTTCCCTGAAGCTCTTCAGTGATAGACTGTAAGCTGGAAGGCAAAATTAGCCATTTCCTCCCAAAGTTGCTTTTGGTAATGATCATTATTACAGCAACTGAAAGCAAATGAAGGTAGTGCTCCATATGAAAAGATATTTAAACCTTCAGTTTTATATTCCTCGAATTGGAGAGAAAAAGAACACTTTCTCTAAAAATCCTGTGTGTGTGTGTGTGTGTGTGTGTAAATGATGGTTAATCTACTTGGTGCATCTTTGCACAGCCTTCAGTTCCATTCAAAATATACAAAATCCCTTTTATGAAGACTTTGCTCATACTACTTTTTGCTGCTTTCTCTAGGAATGCCCCAGTGGTGTTGTTAATGAAGAAACCTTCAAGGAGATTTACTCTCAGTTCTTTCCACAGGGAGGTAGGTACATTGTGGACTTGTGAACATATTCTCAGACTTACAGTTAGGCATGCAATCTTGAATTGGGTTAAATCTTTCATTGTGTGGCTCTACATTTTTAATATTCATGTAAAATAATTAATGCACAGCATAGAAGCTCATAGAATTTTGAGTGTATTATAAAACTAAGCTACATTCACAACATTGAATCTCTAAAGGGCTATTTCTCAGTTTAATGCGAGTAATCCCATGTGCCCTGAATGATGAATGCTCTCACATGCACACTGCTTTTTGACCTGTATCAGGGGTCCTCAAAATGGCTTAAGGCTCTATCATGTTCATTGTGGTACTCATTTGATTTTCTCATCTCTCAAAATTAGGGCAAATGCAATTACCTTCAATTTACAGATGTGAAATCTGGGGCCTAGCGAGGTTAAATGATTCGATCAGGGTCACACATCAACTCAGTGGCAGATCTGGGTTATAACCTAGTTTTTTTGTATAGCTCTAGCTAGTCTACTTTATGTTATTTCCTTTTCCTTCCAGTAACTTCTTACTGTAACCTGCCACTTGAAAAAAATGAGTAAAAATCAAGATGTAATTTTAGATCCAATAAATCTCAGGGTATTATGATGGGGCTGCCTACATGATAAAGGTGAGTGAAGAGATGTAGGTGGCATTGTGTCTCCTCCAACCTGTCTTTTGAGACCAGTGTGTGCTCAGCCAGAGCAAAGGGATGTGCCCCTCTTCAAATATATGTATACTAAAATCTAGTTAGCAGAGGGACAGTATTAATCAGAGTCAATGTAAAGTATGACTTGGAAGATGTGGAGTTAAGAAGAGTACTATGGGAACCAGCTGTAGACATAATTAGATGTTCTGCTGAATCATGGACAATTAAAAAGGGACTATTCCAGTAAATTGATCTGAGCTAACCCTGTGGATAATGCAGGAGTATCCAATGTATGCCTAGTTCTAGAATGCCTCATCCTCCTTCACTCAGCCCATTACCTGTGATTTTTTCTATACATATGCAAATTAATGTTAAGAGGCAAATTCAGTTCTGAAATATAATAAGCTTATCTCCAGCCTCATCATCTTTTCAGGAGCTTTCCTGTTCAGGGTGATGTCTTTCACCTTTAGAAAACAGCAAAGAGCCCTCAGTCTAGGAAAATGGAGTATCAATAAAGAGAGAGCATAGTAACAAAGGTGGGAAGCTCATAGGATATTAGTAAGTAGTTGACTTGTGTGGTATAAAAAGAGAGTAAAGCCTGGTGATAATGTCCAGGATTCTCATAAACAGCAGGTAATTTGTTACAAGAAGAATTGGGATATAATGATCTCAACTTTGAACAAGTTACATCTGAGTAGTCTGTGAACACTTAGTACCAATAAAAATCAATTAATAAAAAATCAGTAAAAATCTGAAGATCAAAAGAGAAGTCAGAGAAAATGACGGAGATTTCGAACTTATTAACAATGATGTAGTGAGCTGACCTACATGGAGATTACTTGGAATGCTATGTTGATACAACGTGGACATCCTTGTGAGTCAAGCATGAGAGTCAGAGTACTGGAAGAAAACAAGTCCGTGAAGAAGAGCTGACATTAACTTCAGGTCCTCCAGGAATTCCAGGAAGACAAGGATATGAATCCATTCTCAGTATGGAGAATTTGACAGTATGGAGGACATGGAGATCATTGTTGAGCCTGAGCTGAACAACCTTCATGGGGGATGTCAGGTATAGACAGAGCTCCAACTAAAAACCAAGAGGGTAAATGGGAGGTTTACAGAAAGGTAACAGTCAATAGAGAAAGCACTTGAAGACAGCTTGGCAGGGAAAGGAAAGAGGTGTGAAGAAAGCAGAAAAACAGTATGAGGCAGATAAGGTAGAGGAGTTTGTTTTTTAGTGTAACAAAGGCTGGAACTTTACATGCAAAGAAAGCTCTTGCAAAGAGAGAACTTTGGTAGCTTTCTTAATACAGAGTGCTTAGCACACATAGGATTCAAATCTCCAGGAACAGTCATAGAATAGAACCTAGCGAGGGCATAAATTATAGTCTAGGAAAATTTTACAGGAAGAGTTAAGAAGAATACCTAGCCCTGCAATTTAGCTCTCAAATCTCTTCTACACAGCAGGCAACTACTGTGGCCTCCCGTGCTTGTGGCCACAGTAGACTTTGCCATTTACACAGCCGTCACCTTTCTAAGACACTTGTCACGTAAAACAACAAAACAAAACAATTGCCTGCCAAAGTAAGCTCGGAGTATCTGAACTGGCCCCTCCGGCTGATACCTTTTCTCCTGAACATGGTCAACTTTCCTGTTAAAATACAGGCCAGATTGGGTCGCAGTTCCTCCTGAAAGCTTCCAAAATGCAAAGTATGTGTCACAACATGCACTGCCATCATGGTCACTGCCACACACCCCCCAGGGCATATTCTCTCTTCTCTCTTTCTCTCTCTATTTATCTCTTTCCCTCCCTCCTTCCCTCTCTCCTTTCCTCCTTCTACCTTCGGCTTCCACAATCTCTATTTCTCTTTCCATTCTAGCCATGTGCCCTTCTTGATATTTAGCCCAAACAGCAGTATCATCACATCGTTGCTTCTGGGCCTTAACTGAGCACACACATCCCTGGGACTAGGATTAAATTCTTCCCAGTGCACACTTCTTCTAATTGTTTACTATCTTTTCACACCATCAGAATGTCAACTCCAAAGAAGAGGAAGTTTTTCACCATTTTGTTGACTGTTGTGTTCACAGTGAATAACAAAGCTTGATACATACTTGTTGCATGAAAGCAACGTATGAACAAATGAAGGACTGAGGAAATAAAAGGGTGAAGATACCCTCTCACATGGTGGCTAGTATCTTGAGTAATAATTATAAAACTCCCTCTGAAGTGTACCCATGTTAATTGTTAATGTTAATTGTTCATATAAAAAAACATGTTTTCTTTCGATGTGTAATCCATTTACTTTTGGGTATTTCAGTGATTTTAAGACAACTCTGTGCATTTGTTATCAAAACTGAAGTTTAAGTAAAGGTTTTTTTTTTTTTTTTTTTTTTTTTTTTTTTAAGAATTAAAATGCCAATAAACCAAAAGGATGCTTTCTTAGATGTATATAGATTTGCTGCAACCACAACTCTTCTGCCCTTTGTGACTTCAATGCCAAGAAGAAGCACGCTCTATAAGACATCAGTAGCTATTTGCTATATCCACCTTTTCCAGTTTGGTTTCTCTTGCTGTGATAAAACACTCTTGACAAAAAAAAAAAAAAATTCTTCTTACACTTCCAGGTCATATTTCATCATTGAAGAAATTCAGGTCAGGAACTCAAGGCAGCAGTTTAAAGCAGAAACTAGAAAGGAACACTGTTTACTGGTTTGCTCGAACATCTTTTTATATACATCCTGGCTCATCTTCCTAGGGATAGCACTGCCCACAGTGGATAGGATCCTCCTGTGTCAAATAGCAATTAAGAAGCTGACCTGAGCAATTCAACCCTCTTCCCAGGGTTCAGGTTGACAGCTGAGTCTAACTATGATACAACACACGCCACAGTTGTACTGTTGTAATGAGCCCGTTAATGAAAAAATAATTTGAGGTATAGATCAAAGAAAGAGGGCTTGCCTAGCATTTCTAAGGCCCTGAATTTGATCCCCAAAATTAAAGTGAAAGAGAGAGAGAAGGAGAGAGAGAATATTTGGTACCATCTGTCTATCTGATTGCATGTATATGATGTAAAGCTAAATTACTTTAACATTTTTAAAGAAAGACCTTGTGTACTGTCTTTGTGTTTACCAACGTAAGAGCAGGTATAAATATCAAAGATTAAAAATAAATGGAAATCTTTGCTATTATTTATTTTTTAATGAAAGTTATTACATACTACGGCTTAGGATGCACTCTACATTAAAATGCTAATTTTATTTGAAAAAGAATATTTTTACATTAGAGGATGTCTAGTTAAAGAGAGAAATCTACTTGCAAAGGATTCTTCTCACAAATCTGAAGGGATTTGAGGCAGAAAAATCGCATTCTGGCGCTTAAAAATTCTTTGATTATTCCTGTTAATTGAATGCATAAATCTAAAGGTACGTCACTGAAGACAATGAGATATTTCTAAGAATGATGACTTACCATTTAAAAATTAATACGATGCATGCAAATTACAGCTCACAGTGATGCCTGCAAAGGAAAAATGGTTTCAGGAAGAACACAATCTCCGATGGCAAGCAGATTCATATTGTAACTGTCTTCGTCTTCAATGGAATCATCTTTTATTCTGGGTTGATAGTCTGACAGCAACAGGTTTCTCAAGTTATGAACAATAACAATGAAGTACCAATAAATCACCACATCTCACTATGTCCTACACAAAAATAAAATACTTTTTCTTATATCTAGAAGTCCCTGCACAATGTGTATTGTGTCAGCTTCCTGGCAGTTTACTGAGCAAGGCTTTTAGTGTTCTGAATGGATGTCAGCATAGACATACTGAGGAGAGTTTCTTGCAGGCAGATAAAGGATGCTTAGCTTAAAGCAATGAGTTGGAGAAAGACTTGCTAGTGCAAGTGTGTGTTGCCAAGTTTCACTATTTACAGTAGAAGGATTAAGTGTGTCACTCTAAGCACATAAAGCACTATAATATCTTGGGGGAAATGAAAGTTTCTAGACCAACTCTGCTTGTGTTACAGGAACATTCCACTTACTTTGACTATGCTAGATTCTCAATTAGCAGATATTAAAGGGGTGAGTGAATAAGCTCAAGCCAGAATAACGTGCCCAAAAATATCCACTGGACAGCCATCATACACAAAGCACTTGAGGCATGTACTTGGCTTCTCTGGATATAAAGATTAAACTAAATAATTAACAATATACAAATTGCTATATAATGTATGTATTTCTCATTCCAGGCAATAATTTTCAGTATAGTTAACAGGAAGAAAGAGAACTCATTGGTGTTGATTGCTGTTGTTTTTTAAATTAAATTTTTATTTTTTATATTAATTA